ACATGGCGTATGTCACTCCTCAGGCCGAGGTGGCGGTGTCTCCCCGTCTGACCGTTGTCTCTGTGTGTCTCCCCCAGGCCGAGGTGGCGGTGTCTCCCCGTCTGACTGTTGTCTCTCTGTGTCTCCCCCAGGCCGAGGTGGCGGTGTCTCCCCGTCTGCTGGTCGGCCATCGGAGGGCCGGATCGCTCACGGCAGTTCAGACGTGAAGCGCCGCCGTCGCGTCGACCCGGAGTCCGAACAGCTCCTGGGCCGGCCCCTCTCCGCCGTCCTGGACACCGCCGTCGAGCTACCTAACGTCGGGTCGGGATCTCCCGCCGCCACCACCGCCGCCGCCACCGTCACTGACAGTCAGCAGTCAGCCGCTGATCACTACCCCTCTACAGCCGCCGCCGCCGCCATCAGCGTCGCCCCGCGCTGCGACTCTCCTCTCGAGCTCCAGAGTCTGGCCTCATCCATGGCCGGTACCATGCCCAGCTCGGCCACGACTGCCGCCTCGAGCACCGCCTCGGGTCGGCGCCGACGGGGCGGCCCGGAGCTGCACTGCGCCAACGCCGAGTGCCTGTACCGGACCGTGGCTCTGACCTCGCCCGACCTGGGATCCGTGTGTCTGTGCGGCGCGCAGATGACCGCGGTGGAGGAGACCGGCCCTGGTGCGGTCCGACCGTCGTGACACGCCGTCTCCGAGTATGTGAGAGAAGGTTAGTCGCGGTGATGTCAGTCCGGGGGAGAACGGTATGGAGGTCAGTATGAGGAGGTAAGTCCACAGGTCAGCCGAGGATGAGCCCATAGTAGCCGGTCGGCCCAAGGGTATTAGCAAGACAGATAGTGGGGGTAGTCACTAGTCAGCACAGGTGAGCCTGATAAATTACTATTCAGTTGAGATAAGACAGGTTCGTAGGAAGTCAATCAAAATAAATGGAGAAGGAGGAGAACATTCTGAAAATGTCGGTTCAATAAGCAATCCTGCACCGAATAGGCCACGAAGGCTAAAAACGACAGTCCGGAAGACAAATCGGACCGAGAAGGTTAGCTAGCTCGGACGATCCCACCAGCCTCCAGTGTTTCCTCACCGGTGCATCAGTTTCTCATCATGCTCGACTCTGTTTCATTACTATCGATGGACTATCGCTCTCATTCAACCGCCCCTGAAGCATTGCTCCAACCTCGTCGACACGCCTATCACAGCTGCATTACAGCACCATTTCACTGAACTGCACCAGTCTGACACCAACACTGCACTCACTCGACACGTTTTCCCCATCACCTAATGCAGCCTCGACGACACTGAGCGGGCCGTAACGTGCGCCATTTGGGCCTCTCCGGCTGATTAGCTCTGCTCAGGTGTTAAGGTTGGCGGTGCCTTGGCGGCCGGTCAATGCTTCCCGGGCCACTGACGTCATCAGCAGTTAGTAATGTCGGGAGCTGGTGTGTATGTAAGTACTGTCGGGGTCAATCGTTACATTCACTGACGTCATGCAAGGCTGTGGCAACACGGTCGGCGTGTGCCAAGCGTCGAGCGCAAAGGGGCCGCTCTGGTGTTGGCTACGGTCCTGCAGCGTTTAACGACGTGATGTTTATCATGATTTGAGGATATAGGGTGTTGTAACTAATAAAGTATGCTATTGAATAGATAAAATGTTAAACGTTGTCATTAAAGTGTTCTGTGTTATGCGATTGTCTCACAGCGAGATACCTATCTAATGACAGTTCTAATTCATACATGAATTTGTTCCTCTTTAGGCATATGTATAACGAGACACGTTTTACTGATTGAGATTCGTTTTTTATTTATTTCAATATAGACAGTAATTTCATTTTTCCTCCACAGGTGTGGTTTCGGAGAATGCGACTGGCGATGCCGCGATATCGAAAACAGGGTCTGCTCTCAGCTGTGACGGCTGCGGCTGACGGCCGTGACGGCTGTGACGGCTGTGACGGCTGGTGGTGACGGCTGCGGCTGACGGCCGTGACGGCTGTGACGGCTGTGACGGCTGGTGGTGACGGATTGGACGGGTGGTGACGGATGCGGTGTGACCGGTAAAGGGTGACAGCGGCGGTGGCAGTGACAATGACAGCGGCGGGGGCAGCGACAGTGGCAGTGGCGGGGGCAGTGACAGTGACAGCGGCGGGGGCAGTGACAGTGGCAGCGGCACGGGCAAGACTGTCAATCGCCCCTCTCAGATTATTCCCCCTTTACGAAGCGAATTGACTCGCGTTTTACCATTATTGATTGTCATCGTGTGATACGATTAACGCTACTTGCAAACTCAACGTCTTACGACAATCACCTGGTGACGATCGAATAATTTTCTTTAAATGCGTCCCTAGATTTACGCTTGAGAGATATTTCATGCCCCATGTTTTGATCAATGACACCGCTATGCAATCAGAGGGATATAGTTAAGCGCACGCCATTTTATTTTGCAGTTTGTACGATTGCAAGATCCCAGTAGTTTGCCGATGAGCAGACAAATTAGCATTAGCCATTAAAGGTATGCTTTTCGTGATAGAATGACGTTCTAAAACGCAATAAAGAACCAAACAGAGCTTGGTTCTCCAAGGATGGTGCAATGAAAACCCCGCCAAAGTATTGAGCCTTGTAGTGTGCCTTTAAGCAGAATTCTATCCCGTAATGCTTAGACACCAACATCAACGAGTCATCAGTTTTATATAATATCTGCTCTAGTCGCTTACTTCAAATAGGATAGCATACGGCACTTTTCTCCATGACTAATCACAATGAGCGACGAAGTTAACCGACTAATGTAAAAATTTATAATGCATCATCTCGCTGACGAACACTGCTGCTTTCTATAGTGTATGTATTCTCCCACATTGGGTTCTTGCGGTGGTTGTTCACAGTCACGAGTGGTGTGCCAGCGGGTGCCATTTCGGGCCTTCATAGTGTGACCTCCGTTCACAGCCCACTTGCATTCTGCTGTAGCCTCGAACCTTTTACCTATGCATTATTGGTCGTCAATGGCTACGCGACCAAAACCAGCTGCGTGCTGCTGGTTCGTTGGCTCTGTCCTCGCAAGGACGGTGGGATTGTTGTGGATCGGGTTATAGAAATGCTCGTTTTTCCCGCGTCCAGGGTCGTCTAGAATTTCACTGATGACCTCTAGTTAGAAGGGCGGGCGCTGCTCAAATTTGCCCGCGGGCCGAGTGTGTGTAGCTTGTGCGCCCCTTGTTGCCACGGGAGCGCCAATGTTCGCCCCGGTTGTGTAGGTATTATATGAAGCCTGCAGCGGGCCTACCCCATGCAAAATCAGTCGATTGTGGAGAGGTGCGAATTTCAGCACAATTCTCTCCATCCCACTGCTTTCTCGCACTCCCGCACAACGCGCTTGTGCCGCCTGTGGTGAGAATAGCCCCATCACTAGTGACCCAAGGTCAGTCCGCCCACAGATTGCGGCTGAATAGAGCTGAGAAAGTCTGCAATCAAAGGACACAGCGACTCATCCTATGCATTTTTAGATTCGAGCGATAGCGTAGTTTGTTTCAGCGGAGAAGCACGCTGAATTAGGCATGTTTACTTGGTAGCTTTGGATTAGTAGAACGCGTTTCCCAAGCTCTCGTAGAGGCTACATTATTAGATTCAGAATATATTATTAGGTAATTGAGAGTTGTAGAAGTTGTGATCAGAGCTATCTTGCCACTTCAAGCTCCAGCAGTGAGAGGAATTTATACTGCTTAGGTATAGCTAGATATCAAGCTAACCAATATGTAGGTGCGTTACGAGCGCCCATATATTAGAAATGAATCGCTGCAATGGGTTGTGCCAATAACAAACCAGAAAACCAAACAAAATAAAGAACAATACTATTTCTATATAAACACCATCAGGTTTTAAATAAGCGCTCCCACTGTTCACATTAATTAGCGTATTTATCTGTTATATCATATGTTTCAGCTCTCTTGCAACGATATATATATCTACGCTTACACGCCATTCATTGGTCTGTTGTTCCTCGATTTGTTTTTCTTCTGGATGTCGTTGGCGGCTGGCTGACGTCACTGGTCAGAGACACAAGTGGCGCAGTTGAGGCGCAGTCAGCTGATCCACTCACCTGTGATGAACGGGTATATTGTTGCTGTTTCCCATGAGTGGCTATGCAGTGCGTGACATGCCGTTTATCTGTGTTACACTTTTTGATCTGATATTGCATATCAATCATAATAATACAACTTCTCAATCCATTGCCGATGTCTGAATTCGGAAGGAACTGTTGCCTGGGATCTCGGTAGATGCTCTTTTTCACGTATGACGTTATGACGATCGGTTAAATTTTTATTCCTGCTTAGCGAGATAGGTATAACTCGCTGCATACTGAAACACACTCATTTAACGCCCTAAAGTTATTTCTTACTTATACGTGAAAGGCGAAAGCTGCCCTCATTTCGTCTGGAGTCATCCGTTTACTTGGCCTGACGTTGCCGAGCCGCCCCCCCCCCTCCTCCCCCACACTGATCTCCCGGCAACGCCCCTGCCGCCGGAGCATCCCCATTGCTCCGGGGCTTTCCCCGATAAGCCGTCTACCATCGGTGGCGGTCGGTCCTGCAGCCCCGTCTCAACCTTTAGTGTCCACGCGAATACAGAACAATGCAGCAGGAGCTCGTGGTTACATTCAGCGAGGGCTGCGCTAATGCAGCCCTCGCTGAATTTAGATTCGAGCGATAGCGTAGTTTGTTTCAGCGGAGAAGCACGCTGAATTAGGCATGTTTACTTGGTAGCTTTGGATTAGTAGAACGCGTTTCCCAAGCTCTCGTAGAGGCTACATTATTAGATTCAGAATATATTATTAGGTAATTGAGAGTTGTAGAAGTTGTGTAGAAGTTGGATATAGTGACACGAGCACTCGGTGCTCGTGTCACTATATCCTAACGGATGCATCTTCCGAGCGCCGTAACAATATCCCTTTGGTGACGTCACCTGACATAGTGCTTCTCATTGGCTGGGATATACTGCGGGGCCGAGAAAGCTGAGACGTGAGTGGAGGGGCTGTCAGTGAGTGCTGGGGTCTGTTTGGCGATGCGGTGTGGTGAGGCGAATAGTGGACGGAGTGGTCGCCTGAGGGCTTTGCGCAGACGAGCTGAATTTAGTGAGTGGTCATTGGACAGTCTACAACTTACGAGGACTGATATTTACTGTACCTACTGTGGACTGCTGAATCGGTAGCTGCATGATCGACTTGACCTTCATGGATCGTGATGGAGGTAAGGGCCTGTCGCGCTCGGTGCTAAGTGCTTTGTAACAAATAGCCATGCAGTCGCACATGTGATTGTGCAGTTTGTAGGTATGAATCTTAGATTAAATGAGTTTGTTTTGTTTGAATGACGTAACTGGGCATTCTTTTGTAAAAATTCACCTGATCGATACATTCATTGGATGGGCATCTCCATTCATCAAGCTCCCTCACTTCAATAAACGCAAGCCATACAATATACATAACAAACGTTTATTTAAAATCAAAGGTTGACGCATTCAATGTGCACCTCATGGTGTAAAAGTAAAAAAAAAAAAACACAAAGAGTAACTTTGAAGTTACTTGAAGTTAAATTTGACAATCTCCGGACCAACACACTATCCTTTTTATAGTACCTACACTAAATATACCGTCTTATTCTCACTGAGAATATAATGCAGGCATGGATGAGAAAGTAATATATCATTCTTGACGCAGGGTAGGGTTGTCGGCTCTTGAGTCACGTGCCGTGCATGAAGGCACTACAGTTAGAAAAAATCTGTATTCAGTGGATCTACTGAGTAACTACTGAGTATTTCGATCTACCATACCATACCATAATATGGTAAATGGTTAAAAATAACTAAAAGTGAATGGATGACAATGGAGCTGACAAATAGTACGCATGTGTGTGCCGTTGACAGTAAACGGGCCGAACGTTCATAGAAAAATTCAGGGCAAAAAAAAGTAAACGAAACCTGCCTCGGGTATCTCTCGTTATTAGAGTAGCGCACAGATCACTATTCAAACGTCTTAGACAAAATATGGGTAAACGTGCATGATCAAATGCATGCATGCAATTTGCCTCTCACAGAGAGGGATTGGTCGTTCACGAGGTATGACGACCATTAAAAGCATCCACACTCCACCGTCTGTAAGCTCCCATATCTGCGACACTAATCTGGCCGCATAGCCGCGGTCACGCCGCCGTCTCCAGCGTCACGCTGAGGTTCCTGAGCTCCGACTGGCTGCTGAATACCCTGTACCCGATCAGCCTCAGCGCCTCGGTACACTCCGTCTGCACGGCCGTCACCCGCTGGTAGGCCATCGTCCTCCGCCAGTCCTGCGCGGCCGCGCTGCTGTTCCTGAACGTGCTGTACTGGTTGCGACGCTCCTTCTGCAGCCGGCTCTGGCTGATGGCCTGCAGTGGAAGGTGCCGAGGCTGTGTCCCCAGCAGCTCGGCGGCCACCTGCTGCGGCTGACCGGTGTGCTCCATGAGGAACTGGACGGTGCGAGTCGTCAGAGGTATCTGGAGGGAGTTGAACAGCCTGCGCGCGCCCCCGGACACGTCCAGAGTGAGGTCCTCGTACCGTGTCGTCACCACCCGACCGGGCAGCTGCCGCTCCAGCTGCGCCGCCCCCCGGAGCGACTCCGACATCCACTGACAGAGCAGCGGCACAGAGCCGCACTTGCGCCGACACCAGGCGCTGTGCCGCCGAGAGTGCACCACCGCGCGCGGGTCCCGCACCAACAGAACCAGCGTCAGACGCGGGGAGGACCGCACCAGCTCCTCCAAGTAGTGGACGCGCGCGCGGACTGTCTTGAGGACCCGGACCGGGTGGAGGGCGCAGATCTGCTCCAGCAGCTCGCGGCTGCGACAGCCGTCGGGCAGGCGCGCACAGACGGCGTCCGCCACAGGACTCCGGACAGTGAACACCAGAGCGCCGGGCTGCGAGAGCGCGCTGAAGTTACAGCGCAGCGCGTCACGCAGCGCCTGAGCCCGCCGCTCGGGCGGCACCTGACTGCCGCCGCTGGCCAGCCACTTGAGCGGCTCGAACAGGTAGAAGGCGAGCGGCTGCGAGGCCAGCAGCTTCCCGACGAACGAGCTGCCGCTGCGCCAGCTGGAGAGCAGCAGCAGCTGGCGGGCGTCGGCCGCTGCCACTGGGCGGCCGGTGAAGGCTGCCGACCGTCCCTCGCGGCGCAGCTGGCCGACCTGCCGCTGCAGCTGCTGCACGGCCACCGCCAGCTGTCGGCGCCGGTACTCGGTCGGGACGGAGCCGTTCGTGGAGAGGGAGGGACGGGCTGAAGTGGCCGCCCGCCGTGTGTCTGGGGCGTGCACCGACCACCGCACACCGCCGCTGACCAGGGCTGGCGACAGAGGGGAGAGCAGTGTCGGGCAGGTGTAATAAGCACTCGCATTGACGAAAAACACAATGGTGGGTTTTGATGAGCCAAAGAAGTGGCGCACGATTCGATGGATTTCCAGTGGTGAGGAAGCCGCGTCCTCTGATAAGACTTTCCTGCAACCAACGCTGAATAGATGTCGCCACACGAGAGTTGAACTGATGAAATTCGCAACTGCGAGACTGGTTTGCAAGATATTATGTTCTGGGGTCTCTGGTTCTGGAAATACATATCTTTTAGATGTTTATCCCTGTACAACGGTGGGAGAGCCCAATAGTTTTTATGGGGAGAAGCTGAACAGTTAATCGTTGGCATGGTTGAATAGTTGATCTCCTACAGCCGATAGCTCGCCGTTGTCGGTCCGAACCTTCCTGAGTGGAGCGTTTCGGCAGCGTGTTCAGCGACTTGCTCCAGATGAGCATGAGCAGCATCAGCGCTGCCGTCAGCAGGGTCAGCAGGGTGGAGACCCTCAGCACCCGGCCGGTGCGCAGAGCCATGGTCCGGCTGACGGAGGTCGCCCGCTCAGCTCAGGTCTCGTCACTGTGCATCGGGTCACGTGGCCAGTTCGGGAACTGGTTCACGAGTCATGTGGTCAGTCCGGGAGCTGACCTCGACCGCCGGAAACTGGAGACAGAGCACATAAAATGGTCAATGGGTAAGTCGATATTTTATAGATTGACAAGAGATAAGACAAAGTGCCTGTGTAATGAATTTTCATTTCATTTTTGGGACAAAATTCAAGCTCAGAGCTACCTGATAGCTGCCTTTTCAGCTGGATTTTCAGTGTCAAATTATTTGTAGAGTATCTCAGACCACATCTCAAGACTCAAGGCAAGTTTCCAAGCAGTTTTGATGTGTTTTGTGGTGTTTTGATTCCGCCTTTTCTCCTAGGGAATGTTGTCATGAACATACCTATTACCAACCTTGACTATACTAATTGATCGTGCTTTTGCAACATGAATGAGCATTCTTCCTTACATAGACCACAGTAGATTCTTGACAATTCTTATCAACTAAATCTGTGAAATGCTGAGGTCCATGTGTTGCTATACCCTCAGCAATGTAACTTCTATCCCTACCCCTACCCTACCCTACCCTACCCTACCCTACCCCTACACTACCCTACCCTACCCCTACACTACCCTACCCTACCTTACCACTACCCTACCTACCCTACCCTACCCTACCCTACCCTACCTACCCTACCCTACCCTACCCTACCCTACCCTACCCTACCCTACTCCTACCCTACCCCACCCTACCCTACCCTACCCTACCCTTACCCTACCCTACTCCTACACTACCCTACCCTACCCTACCCTACCCTACCCTACCCTACCCTTACACTACCCTACCCTACCCAACCCTACCCTACCCTACCCTTACACTACCCTACCCTACCCTACCCTACCCTACCCCTACCCTACTCCTACCCTACCCTACCCTACTCCTACCCTACCCTACCCTACCCTTACACTACCCTACCCTACCCTACCCTACCCTACCCTACCCTACCCTACCCTACACTACCATACCCTACCCTTACACTACCCTACCCTACCCTACCCTTACCCTACCCTACCCTACCCTACCCTACCCTACCCTACCCTACCTAACTGTACCCTACTTAACTCTACCCTACCCTACCCTACCCTACCCTACCCTACCCTACAATCCCCTACCCAACCCTACCCTACAATCCCCTACCCTACCCTACCCTACCCCACCCTACAATCCCCTACCCTACCCTACAATCCCCTACCCAACCCTACCCTACAATCCCCTACCCTACCCTACCCTACCCTACACTACACTTCCACCGACAGTCCAAGTTTCAGCTAAATCGGCCCAGAAACGGCTGAGATATTGCAAAAACAAATTAATTGTATTTACTGGCGAATCCCCTTGGCGAGCGGTGCCTTGTGTCGGCCTTCGTTGGCTCTGATGCTTTTCACTCAGTTTTCTAAGCGAACAACTGAGCCTAAAGCACGTGCCCTCTGCTCGGCGCCGGTCGCGGCCCCACCACGTGCACACCGCTGAACCCACCACCTCGAAAATTTAATACGACGAATGAGTGCACGCGTCCGACTTGCAGCGAAAATTTCACCCCCGTAGCCCTCACCGTTCCCGAGCAATAGCGTGGTTTTGCCTATTCTAATGCTAACCCTATGGCGCACTCGAGCACGCGCCACGGGCGCACCCCCCGGCCGCATCATGTCCAAAATTTAATACGACCTACGTGTAAAGGTGGCCCACATCGCTGTAAAATTTCACGGCCGTAGGTCAACAGACGCCGCCGCAATAAGCGCTACAAAGTGACTACGTCGCACACGGCGGCGGCGGCGGCGGATTATTTAGGATTTATAATATAGATTGCTGTGTTGATTAGTTACGATCAACTTGATATGTCTTATTGCTTCGTAATCACGCGATAAGAAGCTCTTTCCGGAACGCGGTATACCTACAGCCCGACTCTTTTCTGAAGGATACTGGATGGGATGCATCACATTACGGGAAGCGCATCAAGACCTTGATCAGGTCAGCACCTACCTAACTATTCAGTATTCATCGCATATAGGTATGTGCTAAGCAGGCGCGGATCCAGGGGGGGGCGACGGGGGCGGCCGCCCCCCCCCCCGACATCCGAAAAAGGCGCCCATAGCCCGCGGCAGAGAGGGCGCCCCGAGCAAAACAGAGGCGACACAGCAAAGGTTGAGCAGAAATAGGGCGCCTCCAGCAGAAGTTGGGCTCACCAAGCAGGAGAGCGACGCCCAATTGCCCATTCCCAGCAGATCAGAGTCGCCCCAGAAGCAGATGGGCGCCCCCAGCAGAAGAGGGGCGTCTTAGAATAAAAACATGCCTTCTGTTCAAGAGGGCACTCCTGGCAGGAGAGGTGTCCCCCTGAAGAGGAGCGACGCCCCAGCAAAAGTAGAGAGGCGCCCCCATTCCAAGAAGAAGAGGGGCGCCCTAACAGCAGATAGGCGCCCCCCAAAAAAAGAGAACCCCATAATAAAAATGGGTGCCACTGGCAGAAAAGGGGCGCCCCCGGCAGCGGAGGGGGCCCAGCAGGAGAAAGGAGCCTCCAGCAGGAGACAGGCGCCCCAGCGAAGGGGGCGCCCCAGCAGAAGAGGGGCGCTCCAGCAGAAGAGACCCCCTGCAGGAGAGGGGCGCCCCCAGCAGAAGAGGGGCGCCCCAGCAGAAGAGAGGCGCCACAGCAAAAGTTGATCAGAGATGGGAAGCCTTCAGCAGAGGTTGGGCTCGCCAAGCAGGATAGGGGCGCCCCATTGACAATATCCGGCAGACGAGAGACGCCCCAGCAGCAGATGGGCGCCCCAGCAGACAGCAGCTGTTGGGCGCCCCCGGTAGAAGAGGGGCGCCTCATTACAAGAAGAAAAGGAGTATATTCTGCACAAGAGGGGCGCCCCTGAGGCAGCGGAAGGCCAACCCCAGCAGAGGGGCTGTGCCCCAGTAAAAGGAGAGTGGTTCCCCGCTCCGAGCAGAAGAGGGGCGCCCAAGCAAAAAGAGGAGCCCCATAAGAAGAAAAGGGGTGCCTCTGGCAGGAGAGAGACGTCCCCCGCAGTGGAAGGGCGCCCCCAGAAGAGGCGTCTCTAGCAAAAGAAGTGCCCCTGCAGGAGAGGGGCACCCCAGCAAAAGTTGGGCAGAAATGGGGCGCCCCCAGCAGAATTTGGGGTCGCCGAACAGGAAAGGGCCGCCCCATTCACAGTAGAAAAAGGGACTCCCCAGCAGCAAAGGCGTGTCCTAACAGAAAAGGAGCACTCCCAGTAGAAGCGGGACGCATCAAGAAGAAGAGGGCACTTCTAGCAAAAAAATGGGCGTCCCAGATAAGTGGGCCGCCTACAGCAAATTGGTCGTTCTTAGAAGAAATGAGGCGACTTCAGCAAAGTGAGCCTCCCCATGACGGATTGGGCGATCCAAGCAGAGGTTGGGCGCCCCCGGGAGAAGTGAGGTATACCAGCATAGGTGAGACGCTTCCAGAAAAGAGGGACATCACCGGGAGAAGAAGGACGCACCAGCAAATGGAGGCCACCTTTTTGCTTATCTCTTTTGCTAGCGAAGCGGCGCCAATCTACGACATTTAACCCGCGCCGTGCTAGTGGTCTAAGTTTTCCGTGCCGTGCTGGGGAGGGGGGGGGGGGGTCACGCCCCCTCGTCTAACTCGGCTCTTGGGCCGCGTAGCGACACGCGGTAAGCGGCATTCGAAAGATCGTTCAAAAACAGGACGAAAACAACTCTGTCATTTTTTAGATCAGGTGAAAGGTCAGGTCACCATAGGTCATCAAAAGTAAAATGTTGCCTATTTCAACATTTTTTTTCGAAACACCGGCACATACCTAACTCGGAAACCAATACAGCTATAGTGCAGCGGAAAAGCGCATTCGATAGCCCTTTCAAAGGTGTTTCCGTAACCTGTCCTCAGATATGACGCAAGGTTAACGGTTTAGTCTTCGGAGGGCAAAAACTCTAAAAATAGCCGTTTTACGAATTAACAATGTCTTCCTGTAATAATTTTTGACTCAAGAGAGTCTCGACGTTACCTTTGCCAGCATCACGTTTCTGTTCGAGACGCGTCGAATGAACAATATGATGACTTTTAAAGGCAATTTTGAGAATTTGACCTCATGTTTAAGTCATGACCTGACCGGGAAAGATCATATTGCATATCAGTCGATCCGTATCGTCGAGCTGAACATAACTAAGTTTTTTATCGCTCTAGCATGTATCTATCAAAAGTTATTAACAAAAAAAAAACAGCTGTGAACCTTTCATGACCTGGGATAACCTCTGGAACATAACTAATGAGTGGTCACAGGTACAATGTTCTTATTAAGTGTGTTAATTTTATCGGTATCCCAATGCTTGAGATTGTCTAGAATGGCGCTCGTCCAAAAGAGATGCCTTTCAATTTTCTCCCATAGACTTACCTATACATAATAGAGAGGTCGCAAAGCTGACCTGACCTTAGGTCACATATCAAAATTCCGAGACATACATTTCATGAATATTGTTGCTTTCATCAACTGCTGAAAGTTTCAAAGCGATCGTTCAGTCGGTATAGCAATGGTGAGCATTTGAGCTTTTTCTAAGGTTAGGTCACGTGGAATAACCTGGTGACCTGACCTTGCATCACCCGGGTCTCACATTTTTACAACATGCGCAGAAAAGATATATGATAACTGATAATGTATACTGAAAACGGCGGCGCTGCGCGCAGCCGTTTTAAAGATATTTGCGAAAAACCTAGGGGGGACGTGACAGCGCCCCCCCCCTCACGGCGTCGGTTTTAAACTCTCGATTTTGACGACGGTTTGGCGCCCCCGGATTGCCAGGTCGCCCCTATTTCAACTTGCCGCCCCCCCTCCCGAAAATTCCTGGATCCGCCCCTGGTGCTAAGTATGGACCTTTGTGGCTATGGCGCCAATGTGGGAGCGTCCAAGGTCCTGCATATATATATATAGTTAGCATCCCAGCTGCCGCACCGTCAGTCAGTCGCACAATAAACAGACAGCCCGGTAACCAGGGTATGCACATCGCGTTATGTGCCACGTCGGGAAGGACAATGCAGCGTCGATGACCTGTCGTTGCCCTAGCGACAGAAGCACTGGGGAACACAAATGCTGTTTACCCAATTAGACATAAGTGATGCACTGGGCCACTTCAGGATAATGGGCGACTGGGTGGGGAACGCAGCGACGTATGTAATGAGTTTACGTTTACTTGGTTACGACAACACCAACACTACATTTATGACTACGCATGACTAAATACTAGAGTGGTTATGATGAGCTTGGAATACTTATGTCTTTTTGCAGCGTAATTTCGCCAATTTGGCAACTTCGCGTGCTTCACGAAATACTGAAGTTTTGGGCACGTTTAAATTGTCGAAACAACTAAAGCAAGTCACCTTTAAAAGTTGCCATTTTTATGTTTTTCATTTTTCAGCTCTGTGAACGTGATAGCCTTGCGAAACTTCGCCAAAAGCAATACGAGGCCTTTGTATACCCATAATTGCAACATAAATAAACGATGGCGTTTTCTGCACGGACACACGTTTTGTCAAAACTAAAGAAATGAAATAACATGAAGTGAGGAACATTTCGTGACAAAGAAACAATACTTGACATTATGACAAAATTGCATTAATTCGTCATTATCACAACCCTGTAAAATTAAACGTTACGTTTTTGCAATACCGATTCCTGCCAGGCCTCGTGACGCATTTATACCATGCCTGCGATGATTGATAGCGCATGCAACTAATGCCAATCGATACGCGGGCGCCGTGGACCATCGCAGGTCGTAATCGTTTGTTGCCCATGTCAACAGCCAAAACCACATTGATCCATCACTCACTAGTACTGTTCCGTGATTAACATCTCGCAAATGAAATACATGTTTAATGCCCAACAACTGTGTAGCGCAGTTTTTGAAATGATAAGATGTTTTAGCGTTGACATTTGCTACTTCTTTCGTTCTCTATGCAATACTAATTTAAGGCAATGTTCCGACAAAGCTCCCATGCATTGCACGCAACCTACGGCCAATTACATTGGACTAATAGGGTGTTACTCGCCACCGAAATACATGCGCCCTCCACACACAACAGACGCCCAAGCTCAAGTCTTACCTCATTGAGAACGGTGCCGTGCTGTCGGATCGCGGCTCCAGACTGGCCGTCCAGCCTGCCGCCTGTGTGGGACCGGGCCGCTGAAACTCTCCCGGATACCGCACACGGAACTGAACACTTCCCACACACCCCCGCCCTGCCTCTGGGCTCCCGGCCAGCGCGCCAGGGCCGTACGCGCGCGCTGCGCCGGTGTATATCCCGGCCGCTCCGCTCGCGCCGCGTCGTGCCGCGCCGGAGAAGGGCGACGAACTGCCTCACGTATCTTCCGCTGAGAGCGCGAAGGTCAGCCCGGCCCGGCCAGGACCGATGAGAGGTGAAAGTGCCCGGGGCGGAGAATGCCACCGGCGCGGTGCCCGGGAGTTGGCGCCGGTCGGCCTGGCGCCGGCGGAGCTGCGCAGCGGTTCGTGGGCAGTGGGCACATAACAGACTGCAGGGGTTGCCGACCCGGCTGGGACGTCTGCTGCAGGGGTAACCGACTAGTGATTAAGTCTCAGCTGCAGGGGTGGCTGACTTGCTCGAAACGTTGAGGCAGGGGTATTCGACCAGCGATATAAGGGCCACTGAAAGAAAAGCTGACCTGTTCGCAACGTTTGCTGCAGATAAACCAACCAATTCTGCTCTCTCCACTGCCTGCAAGGGTGACTCGATCCGTTTCGAAACAACCACTGCTTGCAGGATTCACATTGACTCGTTGTGTAGCATAGGAGAGCGGGGTCATTTGGCCGCCCGGGTCACTTTGGCCGCCCTATGCCTACGCGTTTTGACGGTCCCGAGCGATTATTTTTGAATATGGCACCATCCGCCGTCATAAGAACTACTTTGGAAAGAAACTTAGGAAACTCGTCCGCGCCCAGTTTTTTGTAAAGCCAACGATATTTGAATTTTGGCTAAAAAACGTAACATTTTCTTCTTTACGAAAAGTTGCATGGTGTCCCTTATTTGGGTTACATCAACATTTTAACTCTATTGGTAGAACAATCTGGTAATTCAGGGAGCTTTCTGACCCTTTTGCAAGTTTAAGTAACAATTTTTGCTTGTCTGCGGACCCCTTTTCCTAAAAATGTCATATTGGGGTAAATTGGCCGCCCCATAGGGGGTGAATTGGCCGCCCAGCGACTCCGTTGATTTTTTGCCTAGTCTGCAAGCAACGCGCTGCGCTAAGTTCTGCCGCTGAGGATGGTAATGCGGCGCAGTCTAAATGCAAGCAGCAAGGGACGACCTAACCAAGGTGTCCGCTGATTGGCTTTCGGCACCCGGCGGCAGATGGTGAACCCGGGACGTCACATCGACCTCCACCAGGTCACAGGTGGCGCCGATTTTTCGTCGTGCCTAAGACGCCACAGCTTCACGCGGAAGAACATCCTTAATTAAGGATTCGAGGCGGCCGGGATATCGCCGCTCAACCGGGATACCTTCTGTTCAATCCTCCAGTTCTTGCCAGCCCACAGATACCAATTGAATGACTAGGTAGGCTATATTTACAGGAGAACCAACAGATATAAAAAGTACGTCCGATCCAGTCACAGGTTTCGCATTGAAGGAAGTTCCGTTCAAATAGAGATGATAGCGTGATATGCAATTTCAGTTAGATACACTACTAGCTCGTGGCCACCAATTACAAAGATATCTAAATACATATACAACAATTCTTTCCCCATGTTTAACGCAGTTAAACATTCACACTACACCTCTGTTCCCTCTAACGCTTTCACTACATACTAGCGCTCCACCGGCGCGTCACACTTCCGCTCTACAAATCCAGCCGCACTACCGGCGCGCGCGGACGAGTCGAGCGACGCGTCGGACTCGACAACTCGGGCCCTGCAGGTTCACCGGTTGGCGCGCTGTCTTCGGCAGCGGACTCCGGCGCGGCAGCTGCAGGCTCTGCTGGAGGGGCCTCGCGCGGCTCCTCGAGGTTGTGAGACTCCGGCACGACGTCACGCGGCGCAGTCGCCTCGGCGGCGCCCTCATCGCGGCGCACGTGGTCCCAATGGCGATGAAACACTCTGCCATCAGACAGGCGCACCTTGCAACTACTCTCACCCACATCAACCACAGTCGCCTTACACCAGCGTCCCGTCCCAGTCCCATCCTGTCCCACCTCCCTAACATAGGCCCTCTCTCCCACAGTCAGGTCAGGTGGCGGTCGGGTCTTTGGGTCTCGGGTTTCCTTCCACCCCTCCTGTTTTGCCTGCACCTGTTGTCGCAGGTCCGGTCGGAGAAGATCTAGCTGTGTGGACAGCACTCGGCCCATCAACAACTCACAGGGCGCTCGACCCGTAGTCGAGTGCGGCCTGACCCGGTACGCAAGCAAGAAGCGAGCCAGTCGTGTGCTCAGCGGGCCTTCCTCATCCTTTGAGAGGGCCGCTTTTACGACTTTGACTGCTGCCTCTGCTTGGCCATTTGAGGCTGGGTGCCTGGGAGGAGACAGCATGTGTCTGATCCCGTTCCTTTTCACGAACGTCGTGAACTCCTCTCCCGTGAATGAGGTCGCATTGTCCGACACAATGACAGCCGGCAGCCCATGGGTGGCGAATGTCTGCCGCAGCCTGTCAATTGTGACTGCTGCCGAGGTGGATGTCGTCACGTGAACGTCTATCCACTTAGAAAAAGCGTCCACAATGACGAGCAGCATGCGGCCTTCGAACGGTCCGGCATAATCGATATGAACACGTTCCCACGGCCTACTAGGAAAACTCCATGGGGACATTGGCACATCCCTCTCCCGCGGCCTGTGCTGCTGGCAGCTCTCGCAGCTTGCCACCAGCTTCTCGATTTCAGAGTCCAGTCCTGGCCACCAGAGGTATCCTCGGGCCAGTCGCTTCATACTGCACACCCCCGGATGACCGGTGTGCAGCGCTTTGAGCAGCAATGACCGTCCTTTAGGAGGCACGACCACCCGGCTGCCCCACAGTAGGCAGCCTTCCTGGAGACTGAGCTCCTCCCGTCTCGCATAGTAGGCAGACAATGTCTCCGGCACTTTTTCCGGCCATCCGAACTGCACATACCTGATCACTGTGGCCACTACCGGATCCTTGGCTGACCACTCGCGAATCTGAGCAGCTTTAGCTCCCATGTGGTCCACCGTCTCGATCATGTGAAGCACATCACCAGGCTGAACCACCGCTTCCTCCTGTCCGCCCAGAGGCAGACGACTCAAAGCGTCACTGTTGCCCTGTTTGGCGGCAGGGGAGTACTCCAGGCGGTACTGGTATGCCAGGAGGGTGACTCTCCAGCGCACGACTCTGGGAGAGACCACGGTCGGCAGCGGCTTTGTCGGGCTGAGCAGCCCCAACAGAGGTTTGTGGTCCGTTTTTATGACCACTGGCCTGCCGTAGATGAAGTTGTGGAATTTTGTGACGGCGAACACGACCGCTAGTCCCTCTCTGTCGATCTGACTGTAGTTCCGCTCTGCGGACGACAGTGCACGTGAGGCGAAGTACACAGGCCTTTCAATTCCCTGCTCATCCACCTGAGAAAGCACCGCTCCGATTCCATATGGGCTCGCGTCAGCACTCACCACACATGGTTTAGTGACGTCATAGTGCGCCAGGCAGGGTGCACTGCACAACAGCTCTTTTGTCTTCCTGAAAGCTGCTGCCTGTGTCTCTCCCCACACCCAAGGCACACCCTTTTTGAGCAGAGCATACAGCGGCGCTGCCACTGTTGCAACTCCGTCCAGGAACCTGTTGTAATACAACAACAGTCCCAGGTAGCTTTTCAGCTGCGTCACATCCCTGGGCTCAGGTGCCTCCCTGACTGCCCTCGTTTTCTCCACCGTGGGCTCTATGCCTCCTGATCCTACCCTGTAACCTAGATAGGTCACACTGGGAGCCATCCAGGTGCACTTTTCCTGGTTGACCTGGAGACCTACTTCCTCCAGGCGAGTGAGCACCTCATCCAAGTTTTTTAGATGCTCCTCATCTGTGCTTCCCGTGATACAGATATCATCTAGGAAGACGGCCACATGGGGGATGCCTGCCAGGGTTGACTCCATCAGACGCTGGAACAGCGCTGGAGCCGAGGAGATGCCGTACACCAGCCGTTTTGCTGCATACAGACCCCTGTGGGTGTTGATAGCAGTGAACTTTTGGCTCTCCTCATCGATGGGTACCTGCAGGTATGCTGCTTTCAAGTCCACCACTGAGAACGATTTTCCCCCAGACAGCTTTGTTAGTAACTCATCAATTCTCGGCAATGGGTACTGCTCCAGGCAGATTGCCTTGTTTACTGTGAGATCATAACTACCACAGATTCTGACCGACTTTTGGTCAGACTTCAGGACCGTCACTGTGGGGGCCGCCCACTGGGCAGTTGGCACTGGCACCAGCACCCCAGCCTCCACCTGCCTGTCCAGTTCCTCGTCCACCATTGCACGCAGTGCCAGTGGCACTGGACGAGCGGGGTAGAACTTTGGTGGGACTGATGGGTCTACCACCAGGGACACCTCCTTTTTACACCCCTGCGGCTGCGGGTTGAAGACCCTCTTGTGCTGCTTGAGCACCGAGTCCAGAGAATGTTCAGAAACACTGAACAACTCCTGCCAGTTCAGTCGGATTTTGGTGAGCCAGTCCCTACCCATTAAAGTGGGACATCCCTGGTCACCATCCACTATGACCAGTGGCAGCACCTGCTTCTGGGTCCCGTACCCGACCTTCACGTCCACCTGACCCACGACCGATAGGGGAGCCCCACCATACACGCACAAGTTGGGCCTACTCCTACCTACCTCTACATTCACTGTTCCTAGCACAGACTCATAGGTAGCTCGGCTCATCACAGAACATGTTGCACCAGTGTCCACCTGCATTGGCACACACACATCATTTAGCTGAACATTTACCACGACAGGTTTTGATGACACACTGTTGTCACTCACATGGTACATCCCATAGGAGGATTCACTCACCCTGTTCATGGCCTGTGGTTGGTCACTCACTCCCTCGACCTGATTTACCATTTTGGTGTGGCACATTTTTGTCAAGTGACCAGCTTTCCCACACTTGCTGCACTTAAGGTGCGTGTTGTCCTTCAGGTAGCACTCCCGGGCGTAGTGCCCTGGCTTGCCACAACGGTAGCATCCTGATCCAGACTTTGGTCTTGCTCCACCCTGCTGCCTCTTGTTGTGCTGACGCTGTTGTGTCTTTTGCCCTCTTGGTTGGGCTCCAGCTGGCTGACCTCTCACAAAATTTACGTTACTGTCTGACCGAGTCTGAGCCCCAGACATGGCACGTGCTTGGGCTCGGCACAGCTCAAAACTGTTAGCAGTGTGAATCACTATGTCCATTGTTAGGTCCAGCTCAGCTTTTGACAACAGCTTTTGTTTCAGTTCCATATCCTTGCACCCAGAAACTGCTCGGTCACAGATGTGGCTCTCCACTTCCGAGCTGGCGAATCCACATTTGGCAGCCTGCACCTGGAGCCTTGACACGAACTGCTCCATGGATTCATCTGTGGCTTGAGTCATTTCATGAAATTGAAAACGTTCAAAAACCTTGTTTGTCTTTGGTTGATAATACCTTCTCAGCCGTTGGCATGCCTCTTTGTAGGAGTCGAGAGCAGTCTCACTTTCCACCGGCTTCAAGGTTTCAAACACATCCTGGATCTCCATCCCCAATATGTGGAGGAGAGTGGCCTTCTTCTGATCTGCATTGGTGATTTTATTTGCCACAAAATAATAGTCCAGGCTTCTTGTCCATCTATCAAAGTCCTCCCCTCTTTTGTAGGGAGCTACGAAGGGAATATTGGACTGGGCCATGTTGCGCTCTCACCTGTTTCGAAAACTGATAAAAAACAAATTTTCTCACTTAATCTCAATCTTCGTCGCCAGTTGTTCAATCCTCCAGTTCTTGCCAGCCCACAGATACCAATTGAATGACTAGGTAGGCTATATTTACAGGAGAACCAACAGATATAAAAAGTACGTCCGATCCAGTCACAGGTTTCGCATTGAAGGAAGTTCCGTTCAAATAGAGATGATAGCGTGATATGCAATTTCAGTTAGATACACTACTAGCTCGTGGCCACCAATTACAAAGATATCTAAATACATATACAACACCTTCGACAATGAAGAGTTTGCGCCGACGGCGGTCTTCGTACCGGTCGTCGCCCCAGAGACGGCAGATCAGCACGCCGCGGCCTCGGCCGTGCTCCAGCTGCCTGCCGCGGCCGTGCTCCAGCTGCCTGCCGCTTGTCGGAAGCCCAGAGTCCATCCGACCACTTCCGGACCGCAGCTGCGCATCAACGTTCGAAAAGCCGGTCGGAAGAAAGGGCGTTCTAAAATCTTGACTAGCAGCCCGGAGCGGACGGCTTTGGAGTACGAGCAACAGGCACATGGCGAGGAGCAAAAAGCGGGGTCCACAAGCTGGACCGTTGAACCACCCTGGTCGAACCATCGAGCGTCGGCAGCTGGACCGTCGAAGAAACAGCAAAAGTGAAAAAAAACAGTGAAGCGCAGTGATGACTGGACATGTGTCCATGCCGTCGGGACCGTCTTTTACAGTGGATGTGTTTAACCCTATTCCTGGCGGGGGGGGGGGCCTCAGGAGCCCCCCTGAGGTTTTTTGGTTATTTCTCCCAAACGCGTTGAGCTAGGAAGCTGAAATTTTCTGACTTTTCCTAAAAGGCTTCTACGCAACATGTCTGAAAAATTTGAGTTGATCTGACCTCAGGTCAGGTCACCAGAGGCGGTTTGGTGACCCTACCTCAGAAAAGTTTGCAATCACGCCAGAGCTAGAGTTTTTGACCGATCAATTTCTTCTCTTCAGGCTTTAGTTAGGGTACCAGTATGTGCAATTTGTATATCTCGGAATTTTGATATCGGTGACCTAAGGTCAGGTCAGTTTCGCGACCTCCCCATTATAAGTCAATGGGGGAAAAATCAACTCCCTGTTTTTACCACTAAAACGGGTCGGAATGGCCCCATATACCATACATACATGACTTCATATACGATCAACCTTCACTACCTTGAGGTCTGTTTTGCTGTTGGGCAGCTGTGAGGTCATGTGACGTCATCAAAGGTCACCAAAGGTTTTTGGCCAATAACTCCGTACAGGAACAAGATACAGACGCGTGGATGGTCTCATTGTGTTCAGCTCGTCAAGACGCATCGAATGATATACATGATGACCTCGAGGTCACGTGACCTAAGGTCAACCTTTGACCTTGACCTTTCGAGGTCAACATATATGTCATTCGATGCGTATTGACGAGAGGATCACGATGATGCCCTTAGTTTGTTCCTATCCTGACTAATTCGAAAGTTATTCGAGAAAAACTCTCTCCATATCTAGCGCCGCCATTTTGACTTTTTCGACTCCTGTGACGTCATCTTTGACCTGACCTGAAAATGACCTTAGTAAAAATTGTAGATCTTGACCGTGCGTATCCGATGCCGTTTACCGTTTGTCGCTGCGATGTGTAGTTTTTGAGATCTGAAGGGGGGGCCGAATCGGCCCCCCCCCCCCCCCCCGACAGTTTCTTGTCCCGGCGGAGCCCGCCAGGAATAGGGTTAAGTGCTGGTCGAAGACGGGGCCTGCTGGAATCGTTTGGTTTTATGTTTACGACAGAATTTGAAATAAACAAACAACTCGTGCACAAAGGACTTTTTGCAGGGCGATTGTCGTCTAAAGCAATCTACGATTTGGCAGCCATTACGGTTGGCTGTTGTTATCACTGGGCACTTACTGCTCAACTCATGAGTCGTAAGCTCATAGGTAAATCAAATGTGGCTCCTCACTTGCACTGATTCAAATGAATCGAGTGTAAGCCTAGTCCTTTGAAAAATTAAAGATTTTAGGCGAATCAAAGATGAGTCACAATGCTCATCATTTGTGTCAGCATTGGGGCATCTGAATCGTCACATCAGTCATGCGTCGAGTCAATCCAGAATTAATGAGTCAAGCACAATCTTGGGCGTCAATATTTCAGGTTGTCTCAGCTCTGTAATGGGTATAGGTATCTCTGAATCACATGCCCGGCCAAATGCCCTCACTCCCCCGGCCAAATGACCCCGGTACCGAGGTCCTTTGGCCGCCGTGCAGTCTTAAAAAAAAAAACGTTTAATTACTACCGAAACGAGGTGTCCCGGCATGATGCAAGTAACAGGCCGGAACAACAATTGAACGCCCCACACCCCTCCATGGAGAAATCGACCAGACGCGCACTGGTTTTCTCAAAATATTATTTTTACAAAAGAGCGGCCAAATCGCCCCGTTCTCCCCTACCTATGCGACAAGAATGGCCGGCTAATTCTGATCCGGCTAATCTGGCTAATCCGAGCTCCAAACTTATCATATCTGCTGCCATATTTTGTTTTCAACCGACAATAAATCCTGGTTTCGCGGAATATGCATCCGCCCCACTCCCAGCGACCGATAGGTAAACGGGGCCGTGTTGTCGAATGTCAGCGGTGACATGGGCGACATTCAGGCTGAAGAGTCCGGTTTGTCCCTCGAGTGACGTGTACTGTGACGGCTACCATTCACTGGACGCGGTATGGGTACTGTACTCAGTTACTGTCAACAGTGCGCCCTTATAGCTCCATTGGTGGCCGATAGCGGGTGCCAAATTACGTCGGCCACCGTCAGCCACTGAAGGCTGATTATGATCATGAGGTCTCACGTGAAAGGTAAGCGAGCCTTGTAGTGACTATTTAGTCATTATGTGTTTGCATTTTTATCTTTGCTTTCCGTTTGTCATATACCGTGCAAAGCGATTATTGCTTTTAACGTTCACGTTTGTTGAAACTTTAAGAATTTTGAGTAACTGGCATGTTCGGAAGTTCTCTTTGCCTTATTTCAGGACCAGCATGGGCATTGATTTTCTTCGTTGTCACTTCTGGAGCCGCACTTCCCGAAAAGTCCAAATATGACCTCTGGAGCACCAACCGCGCTTCCGACACGTTCAGCTACGACCTGCCCTGGAACGACTGGGAGGTGACCACCGCCACCTTCCGCAACTCCAACGGGACGAACTCGTCGGCCGGGTCGCGGCCCGGGCCGGTCCCCAGCGGCATGGACTTGAAGGTGCTGAAGGAGCTGACGGCCGATCTCCGTCGGAACCAGGCCATCTCGCCGTTCGTCATCAGCGTGACCATGTCGCAGGTGTGGCTGGCCGCCGACGGCATCACAAGGAACGAGGTGAGGGTAGAAGTGTTTCTTAAATTGATAGCAATGCTATTAGGTGCCTACTCAGTATGCGCGGCTTTGTATGCTTTGAGTGTGCCTTTGTTGTGCTGCGTACCTATTGTCTAGCAATATGACGTTGTTTCCTTCACAGATCACTCCGACACTGGGTCTCACCACGCCGAACCCCAAGGACTTCCTGCTGCGCTACCACGCCGCCATCAGCTACCTCTCCTCCCTCTCCTCTGGCAGCGTCACCGCCGCCGCCTACAGCCACCTCTACATCAGCGAGCGCATCTCCGTCCTACCCCCCTTCTCCAGCGTGCTCTCCAGGTACTACCTGACCAAGGAGCGACCTTTCTCCTCACCGGCACAGGCGGTCAGCGAGATCAACCGAGATGTGAATAACGTGACCGGCGGCCGCATCAGCAGCGTGGTCTCTGAAGAGGAGATACAGGGCGCCAGCTTCTTCACTGTCGGTGCATTCTACTTCAGAGCGCCATGGAAGACGGCATTCACGCCATCTCAGAAGATGTCTTTTTTGACGGCCGTTGGGGAGAAACAAGTGAAGACGATGATTCTGAATAATATCATCCTGCCTTACATCAAGGTGGCGACGTTCGATGCCATCTCGTTACCGTACTCGGAGGGGAATTTCAGTATGCTGCTGCTGCGGCCGATCCAGCGTGCTATGGACGCGGTGACGGCTCTGAGAGTTCGCCTGGACACCCTGAATGTTACAGACGTTATGGTCCAACTGGAGTCAAAGGCATCTAAAAACATTGTCGTCAAAATGCCTACTTTTACCATAGAAGCAAAGTATAGCTTAAAACCTGCTATGCATGCACTTAGAATCAGTAAAATATTCGCTCCTGGTGCCAACTTCAAGGGCATCACCGATCAGCAAGGTCTGTATTTAAATGACATTTTTCACACGGTGTATATAAATGTTTCCGAGACGGGTGAAGACCCAGCGAAAGATACTTCTGCACCGGCTCAGCCGCCGCGCCGTTCACTGCCAGGGCCGCTATATTTCGAACTAGACAGACCGTTCTTCGCCATTATTTACAACAGGTTCTGCAGAACGAATTTCCTTTCTGCGTTTATAGCCTCACCATGAATATTGTGTATGGTTTTGAGGGCTTTTGAAGGGGTGTATCAGTATTTATGATGAAATGTTAGCCGTTGGTGTGTTGCGTAATATGTTCACAAATAGTTTCTGCGATACTCTGAAAGCATATCAACAAAAATGTTCGCATATAGATAGTTCCTCTTGGACGAATGAATGAACAAAAATGAATGAATAAATATGCATGTCATCCTTGTCATCAGCTCCCTGTGAACCCGGAGACGGCCTGGGGGGGGGAGGGGGAGCGGCAACTGACGTCACGACCTTGACCTCCAATGACAGTTGAAAGCCCGACACGGCTACCGGGCTCACCACGCCAGTCACCAACCGAAATACATCCTAGTTATATGCCTTTACTCAGTCTTGTGTTGTCAAATGTGGCAGTTTATATGTTGTTAAGCGCCTACTAAAGCGTAAGAGAACTCGTACGTTAACGCCATCGTGAAAATTATCGCTCGCATCTATCGGGCTCCTCTTAAAATCTTTTCGTCATCTACCACGATATCCTTTCGGAACACGAATCAAATCAAGCTAGATGTGTAAGCCGTTCGTTGTATTAGGATATCCGACCGATCTGAACATGCTAGTCTCCTTACAGCATAGCATAAGCTCTACACTTCCTACGTCGCGTCTTGGCTCACATGGAGTTCACCTTATGAGTAGCACAGTATCCACCAAGACTAGACGAGCACCAATTGGATTCAGCGAGGCCGCGGGCGAGTGACTCGCCCGTCAAGCCGACCTGACATCGCACGACATTCTCTCAGCTTCCGACGACGGTTTCCGACGGTCCGCGGTACGCGAACGGACCAACAATGTACGGTCTCTCTGTGGCAGTGGTAGCTAGTCAGGCAAACGGCAGCGACATGGCTCTACTCTGAGGTCGGAACAGTCTCGCGTCCGGGCCGGCGGCGGCAGTGACAGCAGGCGACGGACGTGCCTCTCTGACATCAGCAAACATCAGCGAACATCAGCGAACATCACCCATCCCACACGGCGCCGAAGAGTCGCTCCGGTCGCGGCGCCGGCCAGAGCTCGACACCGTTATACCTGTTCCTGGCCCAACTTTGACATCGTTTCTCGATCACCGCTGACGTTAGAGACCCTGCGCCGCCGGGCGCGTTCGCTCGGATTATATCACAACAAGCTGAAGCGTTGGTCGGCGGCGGGACCAGCGCGCCACCGCTTACACGGGTCCGGGGAACACGAAAGGTGGCTGACGGCTGTCCGGCGGCGGCTGGCGGCTGTCTGGAGGCTGCCGGCGACGGCACACGGCACACCGCGACACCCGGGAGCGCAGGTTACCGGCCTTGAGCGTCTGCTGTTCGGGCTTGCGGAACTGCTGGAAGTCGTCGACTGTGGCCAGCCAGTAGGAGAAGGCGGTGGTGAAGTAGTTGCACCGGCCGTGGCCGTGACACTCGATGAACGGAGTCGGTCGGAAGTCCTCCAGACAGGAGCCCGGGGAGACCAGCGACTGGCCGCCGCCCTCGGCCCCGGCGTCCGTGTGCTGGGGAGGGAGCGGGGAGGTCACATATGGATCAACGGAGTCACTCGGGTCGCCATCTTGAAAGTGTGTATGTGCTAGAGACGGGAAATCATATTGGTGAGGCCCAGCTGAGCATAATGTAGCTAATTGACGAATTGACGATTGACACTTTTTGTTTGCCCTGCATTGTTTCCAAAAATGTATGATCTGTCATTTTCTCGTGAATTAAGGTAGTTCTTTACTGAAGGAAAATTGTGGAGTCATTAATATCTTCTTACCATAAGGAATGAGTATCCGATCCACATGCTCTCCCACTCCTCTGGACACTCGGGGACATCCATGCTCTGACTATGGATGGCGATCACCATGGTCTGTGACTCGCACACCGAACACCTGAAACACAGTCAGAGAAACACAGACACAGTCATCACACTGTGCATCGGAAACACGGAGGTCAGCACACCGAGCACCTGAAACACAGACAGAGAAACACAGACAGAGGTCAGCACACTGTGTATCTGAAACACGAACACAGGTCGGCACACCGAGTGCCTGAAACACAGACAGAAAAGCACAGACACCACAGTCAGCACACTATGTATCTGAAACACCGACAGAGAAACACGGACAGAGGTCAGCACACTGTGCACCTGAAACACGAACACAGGTCAGCACCCCGAGCACCTGAAACACAGACAGAGAAACACGGACACAGTCAGCACACTGTGCATCTGAAACGCGGACGCAGGTTGGCTCACTATACATCTGAAACATGCATAGTTTTAACGACCAGGGACGTGCACTGCGGTACAGCCTACCAGGACAGACGTGCACTGCGGCGCAGCCTAACAGGACAGACGTGCACTGCGGCGCAGTCTACCAGGACAGACTTGTAGTGCGGCACAGCCTAACAGGACAGACGTGCACTGCGGTGCAGCCTAACAGGACAGACTTGCGTGCACTGCGGCGCAGCCTACCAGACAGGCATGTAGTGCGGCACAGCCTAACAGGGCAGACGTGCACTGCGGCGCAGCCTACCAGGACAGAGGTGCACTGCGGCGCAGCCTACCAGGACAGACTTGTAGTGCGGCACAGCCTAACAGGACCTAACAGGACAGACTTGCGTGCACTGCGATGCAGCCTACCAGGACAGGCATGTAGTGCGGCACAGTCTAACAGGGCAGACGTGCACTGCGGCGCAGCCTACCAGGACAGACTTATAGTGCGGCACAGCCTAACAGGACAGACGTGCACTGCGGTGCAGCCTAACATGACAGACTTGCGTGCACTGCGGTGCAGCCTACCAGGACAGGCAGGAAGTGCGGCACAGCCTAAAAGGGCAGACGTGCACTGCGGCGCAGCCTACCAGGACAGGTGTGCACTGCGGCGCAGCCTACCAGACAGGCATGTAGTGCGGCGCAGCCCACCAGGACAGGTATATAGCGCGGCGCAGCTGAAGAGTCATGGAATAGAAAGCACAACGATCGCTTCGGTTTCCCACCTGGAGATGTAAGACTGGATGTCTCGGCCTCGGATGGGCGTCATCATCATGGGCATGGGCTCCGGCGTGCTCAGCCAGTAGCTGTAGTCGTTGCGCTGGGCGTACTCGCACTGGTTGTTGATGTTGCAGAACAGGTACGGCATCGTGGAGAACTTGCGCATGCACGAGCCAGGTGTGCCTGGTGGAAGGGAAAGCACGTCACCTTCCTACGCTCGATAGAGAATAAAGATTCTCGCCGTGTTTTCAGCAATATCTTATCATAAAAGGTGTTTGAAGATGAAATAGATAATTGCTGGACAATATGTAAGTTGGTTGACCTCAGCCTATAGGCACGATAAAAGTATGATCTCTTACAACAAAAGCTTATGCATATAGAATCAATACAAAAAATCAATCGATTACGAATACTTATGAAGCGCTACCGGTGACTATACGTTCGTTCATGAAACTCCTGTTGTATTGTCTGCGCTGTGTCGCTGGCCGCTACTGGCTACTCACCGAGGTCGGCGCCGTGGGCTTTGGAGTTTCCGGTGACATGCAGCAGCGAGAAGCCGTCCCAGAGTCGGACAGAACCGGGCGGACAGCGCGGCAGCGACGTCGTCTGGCTGTGGCGGGTGAAGTGGAAGCCACGCGGCCGCGGCGGGGGCCCAGCGCGCGCCGGCTCGCCCGGCAGGCCCGGCCTGCCCACGCGTCCCGATGGACCCGGGAAGCCGTCCAGGCCCTGCACCCCCATCATGCCCTTGGCGCCGGGCAGGCCCGGCCGGCCCCTGGCGCCGTCGCGGCCCGCGTCTCCGTCCAAGCCAGGGAAGCCGTCCGGACCCGGTTTGCCCATACGTCCCGGGCTGCCGCGGAAGCCGGCGAGGCCAGGGGGGCCGGGATCGCCCGGCAGACCCTTCAGGCCGAACGAGGCCAGGTCACCGGGCAGACCTTTCGGTCCCGGCTGTCCGGCGAAGCCCGGCGGACCGGCCTGGCCAGGGAAGCCGGACAGGCCGTCCAGCCCTGGCAAACCGTCCAGACCAGGCCGGCCGGCCACCCCGCGCTCTCCCTTATCTCCGGGCAGACCATCGCGACCCGACGGACCGGGCCGGCCACGGTCACCGCGCAGACCCCTGCAACACGAGTGACGAGGCCCATACATTGTCAGTCATTGCACGGTACGCACTCTGGGATTAATAGGTACATTAATCATCAATTATTTTTCACCTAAGCTGTCAATGAGGAAAGCAATATAACGGAAGTCTTTTCAGCGTTAAGGCCTGGCTACACTATGCGTTTTCTTCGTGCGTTTTTTTTTTTGCGTGTTTGCGTGTTTTGCGTGATATCGTTCTAGAAAAAAGAACGATATTACGTTTTTGTGATGTATTTCACCTTAAATTTTAGTTACATAAGAGTTATATTAGCTTTTGTATATAACCAAAGTAAAAATTATATTGTTTATAACTTTTTTCCTAGAACGATATTATGCAAAACACGCAAACCTGCAAAAACGCACGCAGAAAACGCATAGTGTAGCCAGGCCTTAAGACCAAATATTGCTATTAAATTGAGCATAACTTGACTTAAAAAGCTCTCAGAGCCATTACCTGTTCAAAGTTCGGAAGTGGGATGCACCATACTCACACTGCTCCGGGGAAGCCGTCGTATCCGTCGTCTCCGGGCAGGCCCGGGAGCCCGTCGGCTCCAGCCTTGCCGGGCTCTCCGGGCAGGCCGTCCAGTCCGCGGCGGCCCTGCAGGCCGGGCTGTCCGGGACTGCCCGGCGCGCCCTTCTGACCGGGCACCGTGCCGCCGGGCGGTCCGTCCCTGCCCGGCAGCCCGGACGGACCGTACTCGCCCGGCGCCCCCTTCTGGCCGGGGCCGCCGGGCACGCCGGGACCGCCGTCAATGCCGGCTCGACCCTGCTCCCCGCGCTCTCCTGCCACGATCGCTCCGCGCGGTCCGGACGGGCCCGGGTCTCCGGGCATTCCGGGCGCGCCCGGCAGGCCGGGGCTGCCCTCCGGTCCGGACGCGCCGGGCTCGCCGATGGCGCCGGGCAGTCCGGCCGGCCCGGCGGGGCCCGGCGGCCCGCTCTGGCCGACACCGCCGGCGGGGCCCGGCGGACCCTGGTCGCCCTGGAAGCCGGCCAGGCCCGGGAAGCCGGGAGCGCCCAGGTCACCGACCGGTCCCGGCCGGCCCGGAGAACCGGTCGGACCGATGGCACCAACCGGACCG